ACAACAGTGGAACTTGCTACAAGTTACATTGATACACCAGTAGGTGATGCCAAGTGTTTTTATGAGTGAGTCACTGAGTAATTTCTTCAACTCATTCTTTGAAGTACACTGATTCAACCAGAAATTAAATAAGTGAGTGAGTCAATGAATCATTCACGCAAGCGATTCATTCAAACACGCTGGGTCATTCAGGAACACTGGAATTGCTCTGAGATGTGCAGCTGTTAACTACTTTGACTACGTTTGAAACTATTTTTAACAAAGTGACTGGAAATAGTGTTTAAATGTAATTTGCTCATTATTTACTTTTTGTTTATTAAACTGTTGTATAGGAGCGATATTATATGCCGTCATATTGCTAGTCTGAATCTGTGTCCCTGTCATGATGAGGCACTAAGGTATGATTTGTGAAGTGGATTCTATTGTTGGCAGGAGTAACCCTTGACAAAGCACTTCTCTCAGGCAAGGTGACAGGGTCTTCTGCTATACCTGGAGCCCATACAGTCTAAATATGCACTCTTTCTATCTCTATCTCTCTCTCTCTCACACACACACACACACATACACACTCACATACTAATAAATGTAATGGCCTCCTCTCTGGGTGATCTTTTAAATGATTGGACATATCTTGCCAAGATTTGAAAAACACTCTGCTGCCTCATCCAACTTATTTAATAATTAAATTCCTCTGCATCTTGGTGGTCATTTGTTTGTGTTAGAATTCATGCCTTTAAAAAGGAGATATACATCTTTCTGATCTGTGCATAACTGCCCACACATATTATGTCTTTTAGAAGAGAAACGTCTGGTGATGTGACCAATCATACTTAGAGTTTTTGAAGGAGACAGGGAGTAGAAATGCTGCCCGTTCATAAATAAGCTATTAAACTAAGGGGAGCTGGATCATATAGTAATTAAAGCCTACAGCAACACTATAAATCCATAGTGTGGTTTCACAGCCAGTTAGAGGGAGGATTTTTGCAGACCCCCAGGGTTCACTGAGAAAGAATCATGTGCAGACAGAAAGTTGCAACCCCTGTGATGTTTTTTAGCTTCCAGTAAGAGCTGTCAAATCTGAGGACAGATGATTCTGTACAATTTGTTTTATTTGTGTCTGAAGGCAAGGCTCATAAATGACTCAAATGTCATGTGTCAGATAATTCATCATGCTATATAAGGAAAGAACCTGCTGTGGTTTGGACCAGTGGGACATGAGCCAAAATTTATCACCAGTCTATGTATCTAAAAATTTTATTTGTTTCTATTTGAAACAGTATTCAGTAAATCACAATATTAATGCAAATAATGCTTCACTTTTCTTCTAGCCTTCCATACGGAGGGATTTTTGGGGCAACATTTGGATACATTTCCATCATGAAGCACATGTCCATCTCGAAATGGCTAAGTCAGTTGGGGCTACCTCAGTACTGCACGCTATTCAATGAAGAATATGATGGAGTGGAAGTAAAGTCAGCACACACTGTGAGTTTAGACACACATGCACATACTTTTACTTAGGAGAAGTCGTGGCCTAATAGTTAGCGAGTCGGACTCATAACAAAGGTGGCGGGTTCGAGTCTTGTACCGGCAGGGATTGTAGGTGGGGTGAGTGAATGTACAGCGCTCTCTCCCACCTTCAATAACTGAGGTGCCCTTGAGCAAGGCACTGAACCCCCAACTGCTCCCTGGGCGCAGCAAAAATTGCTGCCCACTGCTCCGGGTGTGTGTTCATGGTGTGTGTGTGTTCGCCGCTGTGTGTGTACACTTTGGATGTGATAAATGCAGATCACTAATTCCGAGTATGGGTCACCATACTTGGCCACATGTCACGTCACTCACTCACAAATAACATTTATAGGAGCTGTATAAGTCACTGTCTTCCACACAACTACCCACTTTACAATATAACCAGCTTCCCATCTTTTGCAAGAACAGAAATACCTGGAAAAAAGACACTCAACTGCCAAGAAAGAAATAAACAGTGGATCAGAAACAACAGCAGTGTTGACTCTGAGATGACTGCATGACCATTATAGGCTCACTGATTACACTGTGTAATACACATTAATGCTGAATCGTATTTCAGTGATTCCACTAATGGAGTGCAGGATAAAGACTGGATGAAGAACAGCACCAATAAAACAGCTATTAAGTATCCATTAGCACTTAAACCATTGATATATAACTGATATATGACTGATAATTGATTTGAGTGACTAATCTGTTTGAGTTACACACAAAAACACTTACATCTACGTAGCGTCCATAAATTCAGTTTTAAATTTCAGTTGCATCCTGTTTATTAAAATTCAGGAATTTAAGTAGAATTTCAAAAGCATTATAATTTAAATTCTGAGTGCACAAACCTGCATTTAGTACCACCATCATTATCATATCAAAGTACCATAGTTTTGTCATCTGATACCATCACTGTACCATGGAATTTTTTTTATAAGGGCAACTAGCCCACTCAAGGTGAGGCGTCTGAATAGTCGCTTAGTGACATGTTTTTGAAGTCTCAGCATGAGAGATTGATATGAGACCACACATGGTAAATAAAGAGTTTGAAGGTGCAGAGACTTTGTCATGGCTTGTTGGATTCAGCTGTGGGTTGAAGGCAGATGAACAATGGGCCCTTACCAACATATGTTATCCCCTCGTTTTCCATCTCTTTGCCCCTCTCTCTCTCCCACACTCTGGCTTCATGTCTTTCAATGACTTTCTTTGTGTCCACCATCCTCTCTCTCTTTCCCCAAACTAGCCTGTAAAAACAGAGACATGGCAGTTGGAAAGAGTGCTTGCTGCTGATGTTGGAGATTCTGGGTAGAATCCATTCGATGAGATCATTGGAGCAGATGAGATAAAACACACAAAATGTTTTCTGTTTCTCCAAAGTTAGATCAACACAGCTTTGCCTCGCTGCACCAATTCAGTACAACAGATTTCACACGGATCCTCATAGCTATGCTTAATGAATGACTTGGTAAAGACCTTTGAATAATGAGAATGAACAGCACTAAGATTACCAGGACATGATTATAAAAAATTTCATTTTTTTAGCTTATTAAATGTATTTGCTCTTTTGCCTTAATTAAAAATGAAATACTAAAACTTTTAATTGGTCATTTTAAATGCTATAAGTATATTCAGTCATCACAACATTATGATTTGCAGCATGAAAGTGGATATTAATTTTGAGATCTTCTAAAAAATAATATTTACCGATGTAAAAACAGAGAAGTTGTAAATAAAACAAATTATTTAAGAAAACTTTACAAGTAAAAAAAAACTTATTTGAAAGTTTTCCGTCTTTCTACTTCAAAATTTCATGTTTAATTAAATGTTACATGCTTTTTCTTTGTAATAAATTGTGAAATTTACTAGCAATTTCTGAGTAAAAAAAAAATTCTACACAATTTTGTTTTTCTGTGTACCGATATGTTTGACATTTTCATGAAAGGATACATTCTAATATATGCAATCCACAGAAACAGCTAGACACAAACAAATTCAATTCTTGCATATTTATGATGGATAGTATGCAAACTGGAATGCAGCCACAAATCTGAGCAGACCGATTTTAGTTGCATTGACAAAATATGGGCAGTCCCAAATAACCCAATATGCTGTGCACTGTAAATTCTACATAGCAGAAAATAGCACACAGCCTTCAATTAAACGGTTCTTGTTTTGTCATGCCGGGAACAATGAAAGCAGAGACGCCATCTAAAACATAGCCGTGCGTTTTTGTTGTGTCAGAAGCAGAAGGAATGTATTGTTTTGAAAGCCACACAAGGCTGGACTTTGAGGAGTGGCGAGGCATGGGCCATAATGACACTGCTAGCTTAAACCGTATTGTGATGTTTGTTTTTGTGTGTAAATGATAAATGGCCATTAGTTCTAGCCCTTGTCATTCTCACCACACGTTTAAACCACTTCATCACTTTGTTTTTGTCTCTCTTTAGGACATGTTACACCTTACAGAGATGGATCTGTTGGGCTTGGGTGTCCAAAGTCGTCTCCATCGCATTCACATTCTCTCCAGTATCCAAGTGCTGCGAGAGCGTGAAACAAAAAGAGGTTAGTCTCGGTCTTTTCCCACTGAGGTACACTACCATTTAAATGTTTGGGGTTGGTAAGATTTTTCAATGTTTTTGAAAGAAGTATTTTATGCTCACCAAGGCTGGATTTATTTGATCAAAAAATACAGTAAAAACCGTAATATTGTGCAAACGTATTAGAATTTAAAATAACTATTTAAATGTATTTTAAAATGTAGTTTATTCCTGTGATGGCAAAGCTGAATTTTCAGAAGCCATTACTCCAGTCTTAGGTGTCACATGATCTATCAGAAATCTAATCTAATAAATAAATGAATAAAATCTTATTAACTTAAAACTTTTGAACGGTATGTAGGTACAAGCTTTACTTGTATGTCTGTTGCCTACATAGACAATAGCTGCTTGGGGTGACAACTGACTTGCCTTCTGCCACTTTTATGGGATTTTTAAAATACAAAAGGTGTAACAGAATCATTAAACTCAAGGATGTCTTTCTACTTCAAAATTTCATGTTTAATTAAATGTTACATGCTTTTTCTTTGTAATAAATTGTGAAATTTACTAGCAATTTCTGAGTAAAAAAAAAATTCTACACAATTTTGTTTTTCTGTGTACCGATATGTTTGACATTTTCATGAAAGGATACATTCTAATATATGCAATCCACAGAAACAGCTAGACACAAACAAATTCAATTCTTGCATATTTATGATGGATAGTATGCAAACTGGAATGCAGCCACAAATCTGAGCAGACCGATTTTAGTTGCATTGACAAAATATGGGCAGTCCCAAATAACCCAATATGCTGTGCACTGTAAATTCTACATAGCAGAAAATAGCACACAGCCTTCAATTAAACGGTTCTTGTTTTGTCATGCCGGGAGCAATGAAAGCAGAGACGCCATCTAAAACATAGCCGTGCGTTTTTGTTGTGTCAGAAGCAGAAGGAATGTATTGTTTTGAAAGCCACACAAGGCTGGACTTTGAGGAGTGGCGAGGCATGGGCCATAATGACACTGCTAGCTTAAACCGTATTGTGATGTTTGTTTTTGTGTGTAAATGATAAATGGCCATTAGTTCTAGCCCTTGTCATTCTCACCACACGTTTAAACCACTTCATCGCTTTGTTTTTGTCTCTCTTTAGGACATGTTACACCTTACAGAGATGGATCTGTTGGGCTTGGGTGTCCAAAGTCGTCTCCATCGCATTCACATTCTCTCCAGTATCCAAGTGCTGCGAGAGCGTGAAACAAAAAGAGGTTAGTCTCGGTCTTTTCCCACTGAGGTACACTACCATTTAAATGTTTGGGGTTGGTAAGATTTTTCAATGTTTTTGAAAGAAGTATTTTATGCTCACCAAGGCTGGATTTATTTGATCAAAAAATACAGTAAAAACCGTAATATTGTGCAAACGTATTAGAATTTAAAATAACTGTTTTCTATTTAAATGTATTTTAAAATGTAGTTTATTCCTGTGATGGCAAAGCTAAATTTTCAGAAGCCATTACTCCAGTCTTAGGTGTCACATGATCTATCAGAAATCTAATCTAATAAATAAATGAATAAAATCTTATTAACTTAAAACTTTTGAACGGTATGTAGGTACAAGCTTTACTTGTATGTCTGTTGCCTACATAGACAATAGCTGCTTGGGGTGACAACTGACTTGCCTTCTGCCACTTTTATGGGATTTTTAAAATACAAAAGGTGTAACAGAATCATTAAACTCAAGGATTAAAACAAAAAAATTTGAAAGTTTCTCTCTCCATGCACACACCTCCTCATAAACCACAGTGGTGAAAACAGAAGCAAGAGCTTATCTCTTTGTGGATGTTTTCTCTAGCTGGGCTGAGTCTGCTGTTCCGTAGCCCTGCTTGTACTGGACAGCCTGTGACTGTGTCTGTCCAATGCATAGAGCCCGACACTGAAGAGCTTCATTAATCACAGCAAGGCTATATGTAGGGTGGGAGAATGGTCAGCACAAGGCTGCAGGCACAATACGCTCAGGGACACATGCATATGGGGTCAAATCAACAGGGGTTATTTCACAAAACTAAGCATTGGAGTGTGGGACGGATCTCCTTGTGGAGTATTGTGTGTGTGTAATGGTAGTGTCTATATATAAGCGATGCCAGCTCAGCTTGGTGAAGAATTTTAAACTGTGACAAACATAATTATGCTATCCTCAAGATCTTCAAGGAGTCATCTCAAAGCCTTGAAAGTGATATGCATCTAATCAGCGTGCCGAAACTATTGAGATAATAGCTCATCCTAGAACACTCAGACACATAAGAAGCATTTACTGTCAGTACTGATAGTGAGTCATGAATGGACTTGCTTCCATACACTCATACACAAAGACATCCTTGCCAAGACAGTTGCCATGTCTGCTTATTTTAGCATGGACTTGAAAAACTAAACTAATCATTATCCTTACAGTTTAAACATTGCTTTACTAACATTAATTGTATAATTTAATTTATTCAGTGAACACGAGTTGGATTACATATTATACTATAACTAGACAATAATTAGCACAAGTTGGATTACATATTATACTATAACTAGACAATAATTAGCACAAGTACATTCATTGCAAACATCTTTTTCCTTGCCAGATTCATTGTAACAATTTTTGTAAAGCTACTTTGAAACAACATACTTATTTGGCCTTGTCATAGTTGTCATAATAAAGTTAAATAAATAAATAAACAAAATAAATATGGGCAGTTGCGGGTTGTTCTTATGGGGTTTATTTACAAAATAGTCACGTATTTGGGGTTGATAGCGCTTGCCACACATAGTACAATAAAGTGTGTCCAAACACCATGAAAAAAAAATTCCATCTGCTATTCGAGCCACACTTTACATTGTAGCATTAATTGCCATAGTTTACAAGAAAAAAAAGCCTTTTGCCCATCTGATCTAGATGGCCAGTTGTATTCATAAAATTCATTTTGTATTCATTTTTTTTTTGTAAAAGTATTTTTTTTAGTACCGTATTAATATTTAAAAATTTTGTGTTAAGATACAAAAGAATAATTTAACTAGTTTGTTCTATAATAAATAAAATCAATGAAATAAGCAATTCTCCTTAATCTATTACCACCAGCCACCCACCACCAAGAGCACAAAAAACTGACTTGTTGCTTATTTTAGTGAGGCAGGTCCCTTTTTCTAGGCTTGTTTTTTTTTTAGCAAAATCTGGTAACACTCCCACCCCTACCCTTCAGTCAAACAGACACACAGACACGTGTCTATGTAGAGGAGGAACAGACACACGCTGCTGTGTGCAGGAGCTGCCAGGTGATTATAAACTCTTTTGCCTATCCCACAATCCCGGCAGTCAGCATTGCATGGGGGCACCCCTCCATTGCATGTAATTAAGTCCTTAAAAAGCATGTTAAGACACACACACATACGAACAGTGGGCTGACAGGCCGAGGCTCGTTTCCCAGGTATAATATACTGCCTCAACTCCATTGCTATAGAGACTCTGACACTTTAGAAAATGGGCAGTTGAATTGGATGTCTTGGATCAGCGACTTAGCGATTAAATTTGGCCTTTATGTTTTGTAACCAGTAGGAATAGTCCTGAACAGCTTTTTTGAACAAATGCAAGGGTTATTTAATATTACAAAACAAGCAGTCTGTATGTCACGGCGCGGTTAGGAAAACACCGTGTAAACAGGGGTTTGGGTCCAAATACAGGTTTTTATTAAACGCAGGGAAAAAACAAAGTAAACACCAATATGGAAACACAAACAGATCTAACAATCTGAAAACAGGCTCAGAACACAAACAGGGATATGACACAAAATCGGCAACTTAGTGATTGCATCAGTCCAGGTAACAACAATTAATAATCCGCCCAGAGAGGCGTGGGGACACTGTAACACAAACTTACAAAGGGTTACAGCACAAGCAAAAGCTTTAAGTAGTCTGAAAACTTAGTATCCTGTCAGTGGTTAAAAGACATCTGGTCTCTACTGACATGGTCCCGTACTTGAGGACAATAACTATTGTTTTCCTGAAATGGTTTGGTTGTTTGAGGACTCAATAGGTGGTCTGATTAAACTGGGTTCGACACCTTTAACAGCCCATTCTAAAACCTCTCCATTCAACTTCTGTAGTCCTTACATCCTGTGAGAAATGCAAATGTTAAACATTCAGTTTTATAGACCACCTTCCTCAGAGCAAAGAGGGTTAAATCTCCACTGCTGCAGCCCTGTGAAAAAAATCTTGTTCATGTCATGAGAAGACAGCAAGCTGTTTGTAACAGCTGTTTTCAAAACTTATACTACATACAAATATGTGTATATATACATATATCCTTGAAGAAAGAGAAACATACAGGTTTGACATGACTTGAAAGTCAGTAAATTATGACTCTCCCCCCCCCCCCCCCTCTTTTTTTTTTTTTGCTGTTCT